ATTACTGTAGTAAAACATTCCTTATACTGGCTGAGGCCATATATGCCATAACATTACACTTTCTATGTGTCCCAAGTATAATTCCTTTTGTTAAGTGCGTGAAATGCCTCTGGGATCCTCCAATCTTTTTCTGGTATTGTCAACGTCCACAATAAGCCTCTAAGTTTAATACATTTTACTCCATCAAATCCAACAACCATTTTCACTTTTTGTAACAATGTGAGCTCATAGTTCGGTAACCGAGTGAGACACGTGAACAGTGAAGGAGGTGATTTTGGGTCTCAGTACCATGTCTCTGTCCCTCGCTTTGTAGCCCTTGTAGTCCACAAGACGCTGCTTCTCCAGCAAGTAGAACTGGACCCAGTTGTGCAAGCCCATGACCTCGGTCCCGGACTTAGTCTCACCAACGAAGACGTGCTCGAACCCGCATGAGTCCTCGCTGTAGGGCAGTCAGGCAAAAACAAGGAGTAAATTTTTTTATAGTTGATATAGTTTTATAGTTCAATAACAGTCCAATATAATCTCGCAATGGTACTTTCTAGTGTCCTACCAAATGAAACCAACGGTTAGTATGGTTACCTTCCTCGTCTGTCTCGGTGGTACAGGTGAAACCAGATGTTATATAGTTGCTGCCGGAACTGATTCAGGTCTGACTGCGAGTGACCCTTGCTGACCAGGTACTTATGAGTTCTCTGTCAAACCAACCACACCCAGTAAATCACAAGCATCCCCAGAAAGCTGATCTCTATGTCAACCAGAACTACCAAACTTGTCTTAATGCTGCTAGGTGACATTTAACACAACATCCACGTTAAACTCCTCACATCCACAACCAAGGCAATACCTAAAAAAAAAAAATCAAATTAAACTCAAGGATTTCTCGGACGTTGGCTGATTCTGAGACTGTTTAAAAAAAAAAAAATAAATAAAAACACAAGAACATCTATTTTAATGTTTTGCTAAAGTAATGTTACAATGTTATGTACAACTGCCTCTGTTTGGGGTATGCAAAAACTTTTGAGTATTGGGTTCTGTTTTTATGTTTTCTCTATCAAAGAGTCAAATCTTCTAAAAGGGGAAAAAAGAAAATATCAACATCCCGAAGCCAGCAATATGTTTGCTGGTTTCTGAATTTGGCCTTTTGTTTTATTAAACATCTGTTTTTCATTGTCATGTTTTGTTAGCATCGATCTTTCCAAGTACAGAGCCAAGACTGACACAGGCAACAGTACCACAACACCAGACGAATGCGATGTTGTGAGAGCCAAAAGATGTAAGTAATGATCAAAACAGTGTAGCGATGTTATGGTACTAAAATCCTGTTTTACTTGAGTGTGGAGAAATGTCTCCTTCGGCCTACATGATTATGACTTTGAATCTCCTAAAATATGCAGGCAAGGCTGAGCAAAGGTTCTCTGACCAAAGCCAACTGTTGCTTAATAATCACACAATGTGATCTGTGTACCAAAGAAATCTGGATTCACTTATGCTACATTTGAAGTATTTTTAATAAACCTAACTCAACAAATTATATCCTTATTTGAAGTTGGGAAGCTATAAAGAGATAAACCACCAGGCATAATTTCAGAAAGGAAAAGCTGAAGTGCCTGGCTGGTGTGGGGGGTGGGGGTCAATACCTTCATGACATCTGTCTCCAACACGGCATTCAAGAAGAGATTGTTTTCTGCGATCTCCTCTGCAGTGACCTTCTCCGCCACACCAGTGGATGGTTCATAGTTGTCCAAAAGATTCATGAGATCTGCAGGGAGAATTCATATTGTTGACTAAGTCAATGGTTCAGTGTTCTATTTATTCATAATAAAGGTTTTTGTGGGGGGGGGGAAATAAATAAATAACGCTTTAAATGACTTCTAACTGTTATATTGTGTTTCAGTAATTGAGCTATTTCATTGCGTTGTGTTCAGACAAACAACAGAGGGGGTTTTAGGAAACATCTGTTGAGTCATAAACGTTCTTTTCTCTCACACAAAAGGATAAATATGTCAAAGTTAATCAAAATTAGACTGTCTGGGCCTCCTTCTTTGGGGAATCATAAAAGAACATGAAACTGGACTATCTGCTTCTGTGTAAAATAAAACAGTCAATGTCACGGGGGCCTATGAGAAATCACACATCTACATCCATTCTCTTCTGTACAAACATACCAGAGGAATACAAGCAGCCTAACAACAATGTTGCATCTCAAAAGTTGGTCCAAATCTGCTTCATCAATCAAATTCTAGATTCCACTGCTGCAAAGTGTGTTGCAAGTGACCTCTGGACAAAGAAGTTACGATGTCCACCTCTTGTTACTTTCTAATGCTTTGACAAGATTGAAGGGATATTTAGTAACAGAGAAAAAACTCTGGCCGTGTTGCCTTCACAGCATCGTGTGATTTGAGGGAATACCGCTGTAGTGAGTGAGGACCCCATGTGTCGTGCACAGACCTACTCCCGGGGGTTACGGCCAGTCGGGACACTTACAAGAGAAGGTCTTGATGTTCTTGAGTTTCGCCTCATTAACGTAGGAGAACAAGGGGGCGGAGGCGTGATCCCTGGCCTCATTATTGCCCACCCTAACATAGCCGGCTCTCCCCTTCAAACAAAATAAAGTTATGTTTTTTCAAAAAAGGGGAAAAAAAAAAACAAAGCCACTCTTCTGATAATCTGCACTTTTATTCCTGGCAATTCATATTCTATCTATAGTGCTCCACAATTTCATTAACAGGACAAACTAAGGCAGAGATCTTGTCACAAAATTTAGGTCAGCGTCAACATTAATATGTAAAGAAATATTTCAATTTTAAGGACTCAACCTTTAATACTGACAAAATAACACTTAAAGGGGCCTAATACTTTTTAGTTTTTTAATAGTAACAATGTTGTGAAAATCTGTCGCATGGGGATAGAGTATCAGAATTTGTTAGGGACTGGGGTGGGACAAAGATGAGAACACCAGCCAAAAGACATATCAGAAAGCATGAAAATAGCTGTATTATTACATGGGGATAAAGAACAATGACTACTAACTGAAGTAGGGAAGTCAGGGAACCAAAGAAATTGCAGAAAACCAGGGGTAAAATCATGACACTCCCTCCCTCCCCCCATCCATCCATCCCTCCATCTGCTTATCCTGGAGATGCCGCCTATTCTATTTTTGCTCATTTTGAAATGATGGACAGGTCTAACTAATCAGCACAAAAACTCCAGTCAACTCCCTCCCAATTACTTACAGGACTATAAGCAACAGCACAGTTTGGATGTTTTGACAACTGTTGCTAGAAATGACATGGCAGGGCGGTTACGCTTAGTCACAGGAGCCACATAGCAACAGGAACACCGACATTCACCCCCATACCTGCAGAGAAATGGTATAATCCGTTCCAGGCTTCAATCGGTTCTTATCCAACTTCCACAACTCATTGAGAATGTCAGAAAGTCCCTGGTCCACCGCTTGACTACGGCAAGACAGTGCATAGAGAAATCATCCATGAAAATTATACTATCCCAGATGCTCCCCTTTACAGAAGGCCAATTATTGGGAAAAATAAAAGGCACTTGTTTATTACTGCAAAGCAAGTAAGCATTTTAAACAGTGTTTAAAAAGAGGCTTATACCAAGACTAAGATTTGTCACTCCATTGTTGGACAGCTGCAGTCTAGCCGGTTACAATCAACATACTGATTAAGCCTATTTAAGAAGAGCTCCACTGGAAAACAAAAGGAAGATCAATCCTAAAAAAAAAATCACAATCATTTTTATTCTATAATTATGACATATTATAATCACTGTCATATATGGCATAGAAAATCAATTAATATCATTTTATGTCCAGAGTTTGTATCAATATGTTGCAATGCATATGTTTAAGATTGTTTCATCATTTTTACCTTTATGGGTTTTATGGGGTTGCTTTCTATTAAAATGCCTGTCATACTTCTTTACCATTTTACATACCTGGCATCAAGGTGTGGGAAAATAACAGCAAGGAATAAGAGCAGCGGCGCAAAGTCTTGACTGATACATCTGGAAACGTTACAATAACAATGCAATTAAAAGTGAACAAGTCGAAACACGCTGAGAAGTAGTACAAAAAAATACAAGGACGAGCATTCTCTGGATTAATTAGGGGTATAGGCGTGGTTGAAAAGGCGGAGTGAGGAAGAGTCACAATGAAACGCGGTTCATGTTGTGTCACAAAAGCGTTTTATTTAAAGCTACTCAAATCAAAATTATAAGTCATGTACCAATTATAACAGACAAGAGATAAATTCAATTTCTGGTGATCCACGTGAGCTCATGGGAGTTTTACACTTACATAAAAATGTTGAGGACAGAATGAAAAATGATTGGTTCAAATAGATCACCAATCAAATTGTAGAGGAGGTGGGTCACAGCAACTAGAAGATGCGGGCTCAACCAATCAGATGCCTTGATCCCGCCTTCTCTACTTGCTGCACACTATGGAAGGCATAACGCCGAAACGCGTCGATGTGTTGTGTGCAGACTTAAAATAAAATGATACAGAAGCAAAATACAGCTTCTTTTGTTTAACTCGATTTATTCTCTTATTGCGGTCCAGCACTCTGACAATTGTATTATAGTACTAGGAGTAAAGCCCGTTCTTCTGTACCATACTAATAAAAAGTTTGCAATTTTGTAAACAGAATTGTTTTCTTGCAATATGCTGCAAGAACGAGATGTACCTTCACGTGGTACACGATTCATAACAAAAATAACTCATAGCTGCACATCATAGACTATGGCATAAAAATATTTTATGCAAGAAAACAAACAAGAAACACTTTACCCCCGAGCCATTGCGCATCTGCAAGCTTCCAAGTCGAATGGCGTGTCAAACGCTGCGAGCAGGGCCGCTATCACGGTCCAGCGGCACGCCTAAACGCTGTCCAATCGTAACGGCGGAGAAAACTCATACTACGATGATAACCTGCTACGAGCTCGCTTATTGGCTGCGCTGCGAGGATACGTGGTGACGTCAGTGACATGCCAAAGTGGGGAGAGTCGGAGTGAAAAACGAAAGTGATCAACTATAGGTAGAAGTGATCAGATCCTTTTGCAGACGGACCTTTATAAAGAATTAAAAAAGTAATATCCTAGCCTACAGTTTTGTCAAAGACAAAATTATACAATGCTGGGCGCTATTTATAATGTAAGTATGGTGTTTGTTTTGGAGTTTAGATAACAAACTGTAGATAGTGTTTACTGCTGCAGCAGAGCTCTATGTTTATCCATATGCATTGTTGCCTGAATGTTATTATTGCTAGCATTATTGCATGTGCAGAAATGTAGTCTGTTCAGGTTAAGCAACCTTATTGTACATAAGTAGCCCTTTACTGTCGAAGTCAGTTAACTTCCTGCCTGACCTCATACGAAAGAAGTGTAGGCGGGTCAGTAAAGGCAGTTAGGTGTGAATTAGCAAGAATGCAATAAAATCTTTTGCCATATACCGTTAATTCCTAGTTATTTTTAGGTTAATTCTGCTACTTTTTCTATTATTTTAGACTGCGTTTTACATTTACTACACAATAGTGCCCGATTAAATTTCTGCATTTTAAGGGCCAGTGAAGTTTCCTCGAAGACGATACTCACCGTGTACATTAACAGTAGACTTTCTTTGGGCATCTGTCCGCTTGCTTTTAGATTTTGATCTACGTTTTCCGTTTGATTCATTCTGTACATATTCCTTCACAACTTAACAGACGGTCTTAATGTGTGTATTTTTATTAACTCCAGATTTTGGTAGATTAAATTGTAACCCTGGCATTTTACTATAATAATGCAGTATAACACCTAGGAAGGTAATCCCAGTGCTCCTGTCTCGTTGCAGTTTATCCAGAGTTGTTGCAGCAGCATTATCCGTGTAATTCTCAGGCTGCTTGGTATAGGGAAGAGACCTGCAATAACTCTTGAAGACCCCAACATCAAGTATGCTTTACGGCTCATAGACAAGGAGGTAAGTGTGTGACTTTTAATTACAAAGAATTTCAAATGATTTATATACTCAAAAGCTGTCACTTTCTTGGTGAATAGTGTTTTGGCTGAAAACAAACAAACAAAAAAATCTGACATACATTGACTTATTTATGATGTTGTGTTTGAGTACATACAGACTTGACACTTTCCAGTATCTTACTGTGGCAGTTTACTATAAAATATAAACATTCTTCAGGATGAGATCAGGTTTGCAATTCCATGCAAAGGTTTGTTTGATGTCACACATAACACTGATAAAATGCAATGTATTTCTCACATGTAAATGAATAAATGAGTTTTGGGGATTTGCTTATGTTCAACCCAAGGGGTTAAATATATGTAAATTGACTCATTGATATTAAGCCTGTCTGCTCTCTTAGGCATTTCGTTTGAGTCTAAATGTCACTTTCATAACACTAGAATTGTCCAATGAATTTCCCCTCCAAGGAGGTCAATAAAGTCTAATTCTAAGCCCTCATAATAATATAAAATGTAAATGAAAAATAAGTCATGGAGTTAAATTTTGGCTTACTTGTATTCAGTATCTGTACAAATATGTATCCAATGTGAAACAGCCACATAGTGCTTTGTGGATGTTTCGTGTAACATGGTGCATTCTGGGATGTGTGCAGATAATCAGCCATGACACCAGGAAGTTTCGCTTCGCATTGCCCACTGCTGACCATGTCCTTGGCCTGCCCATCGGTAAGCATTCTCACAATAACAGAGGCTCAGTGGGTGGCCGGTTCGAGCCCTGTTTTTGTGTATGTGTATGTTCTTGTGTCATGTGGGATTAGGACTGGACTGGCTGTTTGCCATACTGGGCATTTTCTTAGAGGGGCGACGGGTATGTGGGCCGACAAAGTTTATCGTGGGAACCCCACCCCCCAAACAGTATATCTGTTTGAGGCTCCCTTGTTCTGGTGACATTACCCTGGAATATCATTACAGGCCAGCACATATATCTGTCAGCCAAGGTGGATGGGAACCTAGTGGTCCGTCCATATACTCCTGTGTCCAGCGACGATGACAAGGGTTCTGTGGACCTGGTGGTCAAGGTAAATTATAAAAAGAAAACCTGAGACCTATTATATATGGGAGGGGTAATCAACCAGTATACTTAAATATCTGACTGCTTTATAAAATGCAGTTAAAAATTGATATGTGATTATGGTATTGTATACCACAGTAACTTATTTATTATTTCTTGCTTTTTGAGATTTATTACAAAAACGTCAACCCAAAGTTCCCTGAAGGCGGGAAGATGTCCCAGTACCTGGAGAGCCTTCGGATTGGTGACACCATTGACTTCCGTGGTCCAAATGGACTGCTGATATACAAAGGAAAAGGTAGGGCATCCAGTAGAATCTACATTTTATACATCACATATCAATAAACAAAATTAAAATTCATTATGTGCTACAAACACTAAACTCAGAAATCAGATGTCTTGAAAATGATTACTAACACTGTTTTGTAATGTTGTGAAACAAACACTTTCAACTGTTATAAAAAGTGTGCAAAGGGTGTATATGTTTGTTTAATTCTGTACAACTACCTTCTACATTAGTTTCTCAAATAAACAGTTGATTTCTTAATGAATTTCAAGTACGCTATTTAATATACAACATTTCACAAGTAGAATAAGCATGAATCACTGTTGGAGTCTGCTTCTGAGTAAAGTTCAATCTGAGGAAAGGTTATGTGTTGCAGCACTGGTGAGCTAACCAGATTGAACTTTCAACACAGGGGTGTTTGCCATAAAGCCCGATAAGAAGTCAGAGCCAGAGCTGAAGATGGCCAAGCACGTTGGCATGATTGCAGGGGGAACTGGTATGCTGTCCTTCTCCAGCTTTTATATGGTTTTAAAGGATGCAGGGAACCCTAAATCTAAAGGTTCAACCAGCTCACGGTTTCCAGTTCTTTGTCCTTGATTCCTGAGCCTGATGCAAGCGATTTATTTAGACCGTACCAAGTGTTGTGAATTCTGAGTGCCACATTGTGAGTGAGTAGTACTGCTAACTTGCCAGATCCAGTCAGCTGTCAGCTGGATCGAGTACAGGCTCTCTGTGCGTCATGGGGTGTGCAACCACCTTGGCTTTCCTCCAGGCATGTGAGTAGCTGCTTCTCTTCCACACAGGAATAACGCCCATGCTGCAGATCATCCGGGCAATATTGAAGGATCCGGCAGATATGACTGTGTGTTACCTGCTCTTCGCTAATCAGGTGAGGCGGGTTGCATGTATGGGAGATTCCACCCCTCTATTCCAGACCTTATTTTTTAACCCTAAATGCTTTTAGAAGATATACATTCCTGGCATGCAACAATTACACTATGAGAACTTCATATGCAGTTCAATAGAGGCTTGACTTTTACATTTAGTGAAAAGATCTATCTTACATTCATGAGTTATACGCATATGCCCAGCAAAGAGCTGTACAGCGCATCTTCAGCCTTGGTGATGTTTGGAAACAAAATGATCCTTACAATCTACCCTCCCTGTCCACCCTAGACCGAAAGGGACATTTTGCTGCGCACTGATCTGGAGGAGATAGAGACCCAGCACTCATCCCGCTTCAAGCTGTGGTACACTGTGGATAAGGCCCCCGAAGGTAAATCCACGCCCCAGTTCACAGCCAAGTTACATGGCCTGCAGCATCCAGCAATGTTGTCAGTGTTGAGTTAGTTATATCCGAGCTGCAGCTGGTCATTTGTCAGATATTCCTGGAGTCTTATTCATCAGTGTACAGTGGCTGTCCCTGCAGGATCAGTGACACAATCTACCTTTCCTAGGCTGGACCTACAGTCAGGGTTTCATCAATGAAGAAATGGTGCGTAAGCACCTACCCCCGCCAGGCGGGGACACGCTCATCCTGATGTGCGGCCCCCCTCCCATGATCCAGTTCGCTTGCAACCCCAACCTCGATAAAGTCGGACACCCCAGCAGTAGGAGGTTCACCTTCTAAGTGGTGCCAACAGCTGCCTAACTGGGTGAGGCAGTCAGCTTGGTGTTTCCAGTTATTTTCCAAATTTTCTGTAAATGCCTTGTAGTTAAGGTTAAAGGCTGCTGGAAAAAATACAATTCACAAAGACGTATCAAATCGCCTTAGCTTCTGGGCTAACAAATTCTAAGAAATTACATTCCTCTGATGCTAGTGGTCACAGGGCGCTTGCTGATCTCTAACAACAAAGGAACATGCAAATACTTTGTGTAGCCAAGAAACCGCTTCATGTACCAGGTTTCCGGCTGCAAAGCTGTTGAAATTTGACGGGTTGACATGCTACTGTATTGCAATACTTGTCCACTGCCTAATCTACAGGGAGAGCTACATGTAACTGAGTCAAGGACGTCCCGTGAAAACAATTATGGTATGAAGTTCCCTATCCTGTCTGTATTGTTGAATTTTAATTCCTTACACGCGTGTTCTGCAGGATAATTAAAGATTTAACTTTCTTTATTAATTTGGACCTGCTACTGTCTGCTGTTGCTTTGACAGCTCTAATGTACCGGTTGAAGTCTGTGAAAATCCATATAAAAGCCTGTCTGCAGACACTGCTAATATGATGGATTCTTGGTGGAAATGGGGGTCACAGTTCATCCATAGTTATATCCAGTTCAGTGTTTGTTACCTGAGTCTTATGCAGTTACGTTTGAGGTGTCATGTGTGTTACACGTTCAGCATTGCTTACGGAAACCCAGTGGCAGTCATTGGTAGAAACGCTTTTGTCTGAGCGTTGCCCCACGAGTATCAAGCCATTGCTGTCGGACACGGGCTATGCTTATTGGCTTAGAAGGAAAGTGATCGATTAAAAACATGCTAATGTATTCACCATGGAGTATCTCATGCAACTCATTATGAAGCCAGTGCTGTCTTACTTGCATGTTGACATTGATGATGAATAAAAATGCACTTGATTTATAATATGATATGATTTTGTATAAGGAGTACGTTTACAGGCAGAGGACACTGAAAGGAAGGACACAATATGCATTATTATCATGGTACAGAAACATTATTATTATTTGATTTGGTGACAGCCCAGGAGCGAGAGGGATACAAATGCCAAAGATGAGGACCTTACAAGTTAATAGGGCTGCTGAAACTACATCATACTCAGCCAAGCATAACATGAACCTGAAATTAGGTAACAGCAGTGCAGAGCTTTTAAAGGGGTGATTTGTGGCTCCATGGTTCATGACTCTGTACTCGTGTTGAGACAGCTGCCGGTTCAAATCCAGTGGTCAGCAGAGTGATGTCACTGCTGGCCATAGAGCAAGGCCCCTAACCTGATTTGCTCCAGGGACTGACTGACTCTGCTTCCTCGGTTGTATGTTGCCTTTGGTAAAAGCATCTGCTAAATAAATAAAAATGTAAATTTAATGAAATCATAAGGACCAAGAAATGCTTCGTAATTAAATGTTTTTACGTCCAAAATCTGCTGTGACTTCAGGTCACAACTCAGTTGGTCAGATTTGGGCTGTGCGATATGACCAAAATCTCATATCCTGATAATGATATATATCTTATCAGCACTGCATATTTATGGATTTTTTTTTATACAGATCAGCTATGGTAGGAATTGGATAGAAATCTGCAATGAACAGTGAAGTCCAATGCAGTGGCGTGTACCCTTGCAAAACTGTCATCCGAATGTTCATGGCAACATTTTTTCCATCAGTGTATTTTGCATCACCACAGAATAAACGATAGAGCATAATATGTAGTTATTTTGTCATCCGATATATATATCATCATACCGCACAACCCTATATCAGATACTGCTGGCATAGATCTGTAACTCTTGCTTTTTTTAATTTTGATAATTTATTTTGCATCACCACAGAATAAACGATAGAGCATAATATGTAGTTATTTCGTCATCCGATATATATCATCATACCGCACAACCCTATATCAGATACTGCTGGCATAGATCTGTAACTCTTGCTTTTTTTCATTTTGAAGGTTAACATAAGATGTGTGATTTTCTGTATTGTAAGATAGGAAGTTGACATTGAATTTGTATTAGAATTGAGTACAGCTCCAGGAATCAGCATTTGAATTGGAAATATAGGGTATAGTTTAATGTAAGGCTGCAACATTCATGTATATTTTATTGAACAGGAAAGTGTCACTCAAGTTTCTGCATTTGCCAAAATACCAACCATTTATCACTATAAATGTTAATGTGGGACTTCTAGTGGTGAAAAGTCTGTCGGGTTTTTTCTGCATTTGTACTTTCTGATGTTTATATTTAATTGAGTGGTCAAGAGCACTTGAGTGAAATCAGAAAATCCTAAGAGGCTCTATTGGTTCTGTGGTCTCTTAGAAGATTCCACTTTCTCCCACTTGTTTTTGCCATATTGAAGTTGTTAGTCATATGAGATCTTTTAGGTCCAACTGGCAATAGATTTATGAGGCTCGGGAAAGACAATAAATGGTCTGTGTAGCTAATTCTTTGGTTTAAACTGTAAACCCTGGATGCGATGTCCAACTGGCACAAAATGTCATGGACATTTTTGTGGCAGTATAATGAGAAGCATAAGTATTCATTCTGAACCTCTGTTCCATTTTGGGATCCATGGCCACCAGGGGTGTTAAAACATTCACCATACAGGTTGTATGTTTTATGGAAATTTTCATCGATATCCATGGTGTAACAAAGGTCTAGGTCAGGGGTGGCCAGTCTTATTTATCCATAAAGGGCTGCTGTGCATGTGGGGTTTCTCACTGCAACTCCTTAATTAGATTACTAATTAGAGGAGTGTTTGGTTGAGTCCTCACACCTGGGTTTGATCAGCTGACCTAAAGGTTATCCCGGACACCTGCATACACACCGGCCCTTTGCAGATAAGATTGGCCACCCCTGGTCTAGGTTTTCCAAAACTTCCCCAAAGGCTTCTTGTCTGTTCTGCACAAAATTTAGCTTTGTACACAGTAGCCTTGGACCAAGTCCATTTAGTTTTAGTGATAGCTGACATGTCCAAATTGTGTGCTTAAGCTAATTGTACCATTTTGCACACCTTGAATTAGCCACACATTTTATACATATTCTTGAGATTGATGTATGTAACAGGAGGGATGAGTGATGTCCTGCTGGGCTTTTTAGTGATGGTTTCAGGCTAAATGAGTGAGCTAGAGCCTAAAATGATGGACTTCGGTGACACTCCCAAACCAATATAGTTAATGCCTGACAGACCCATCATCACCATGGTAACCTGATATTGACTAACAAGAATAACTGTGTGGAAAATGAGATTAAAGATTCAAGTACACTTGGAATCTGTTCATTTTATACTGAACAAAAAATGTCCCGCAAATAAAGCACTGTACACACTTGTTAATTTTATTGACTTTTTAAAAATGCATAAAAACCTCACAGTATATGGTAGAAATGGGTTCTTACATAGACGGTTAATGGGATCTGCATAGAAGTATTGCTGGGTAGCATCTTATTGCTTTCTTTTAAAACATGCTAAATAATGCACATTATGCATTAAAATAACATTACATATACATGGACCACAACTACCCTAATAATATTAAAATACAGACTTCAATAATAATTAACAGCAACAACTCAAAACTGAGTTCCTGTTTTTGCATAGTGGGAAAACCGTTAGAGTGACAAACTTAACGTGTAACCACTCAAGGCAACTAAAAAGCAAGCACAGGGGACAAGCACAGCACTGAGAGCAAGAGGCTTGAGAAGACTGGCTATTCCCCAGCTAGTGTACGATGTTAACGTCGCTTTCCATTGTGTGCTTCGGTAGTGACTTAAGGCTAATGCTGTGTTACAACGTACAAAGCAAACCCTTCACTCAGCTCTGAAGCAGAGATTCCCTTGGCACGTTAGGAGGTCGGAGATCGACATTTGTTAAAATATTACATGTCCATTGGCACCTTCCACGCACTACAGACTTGATGGCTCTTCACACAATGGTGAATTTTCACAATGTTTTTCCTAGTGTCTTCTAGAATTTAGAGCTAAAAACCATCTTACAAAAGTTATAAATGTCACTTCGTTAAATAAGCAAAAACAAAAGCACACCTCACATTACAAGTCTCCAGTAACCAGCTGGTAGGCAGTTTAAGAAAAAAGTGTCTTGTCTGAAACAGTTTTAGGAGAAACAGTAGGTGGAGAGGGTAACTGAAAAACTAAGCCTTTTAGAAAAAAGGAGGGAAAAATTAAGACTTTCCACAAAGTGTCATCAAAAAAACAAATGCAGACAGCGTAAGGATACTCGAGGACCGGACACGTGAATGGTTTGATTTTAAATTATAGCTATTGTGCTCAACGATAACAATTCCGGGATGTACAGCCATCGCAAGGCCGCGGCTCAAAGTAGAAGGGCACGTTTTCATGCTCAGGCGGGTTCAGTCCGTCCTGTTCACAGCGCTCTGCCGGCGTCGGGACAGCGATGCCCTCACAAGTCCTCACCCATCATGCTGGAGCCAGGTGAGCACGCTGACAGCTCCTTAAAGAGCTCATCGTCCTTTAGCATGCTCTAGAATACAGTATGTGAGTGAGAGTCCTGGCCAATTAAAACGGTTACTCCAATATGGTGAAATATCAAACTTAAAATGTCAGTCAAGCGAGTCATTTTGGGAATTTCGTGAAGGACAAATGGCATTCTGTGTAGAAAGTGAAATAGTTGAAAGAACAAACATTAACCGTAAAGTCTGATTTGGAGGTGAAATTTCACTTACTGTCAGGTTATTAATACCCTCAGAGAAGGCACCAATTTGCCTCACAGTTCCTTCTGAATCTTCCATCTGCAAAACCAAAGGAAACTCAGATAGACCCAGGAAAAAATACTTAAAAAGTCAAGTGTTTAAATAAATGCTTACCAATTCATTGGGAAGAACTCATACTGACTAGTTAGTCTCAAATTCAATTCCTAGCATTAGCACTACTCCAAAGTCAAGGTGATGTGGACCGTTTGACCGAGATGAGCAGGCTGCCCCCTTTTGTGATGGGGTCCTGCCCTACCTGCTCTAGCCGGTCCAGCTCATCGTCATAGATCCGGTGTCCTCTCAGAAAGCTGCTACCCTTGGGCATCTCCATGTCCATGGGGCAGATGTACTCCTCGCTCTCCTCGTGCCTCTTGCTCCGTAGCCTGCCGAAGGTCCCGAAGGTCAGCTTCCTGGGCTGTAGAGAATGGTGTGTAATATTTGAACTATAAGCACTCTGGCATGTAAGCCTCCCCTACAGGAATTTCATGTATTTCAAAAGCACCCCCAGATACCAATTATAGTCTATGCAAGATGCCAGTACAGATTTGACTAACTTCAGAAGATAAACTTCAGCAGAGCTGGATAAACTCACAATGCACATACAATCTGGTATTTACTTGCTAATTTGAAAAATTGTGTACATTATATGTGTGATATAAATTTGTTTCTTTGCTTGATTATTGGGACAAAGACCACTTTGACCACCAAATTCACTGATCTTAGCAGATAAAGAGTATATTAGCGGGGCTTACAATACAAGGAGGGATGGAGCAGTTCAAGGGCAAACAAAGACCATTATTACTGTGGGCGGGAAGGAGCAGCCTATGGGTGGAGACAACCATACTATGGGAGGGAGTGGTCCTACCTTCACTTTGGCAGTCGCAGTGAGCAGCACATAGTCAGGTCCCTCCAGGCACTCCTGCTTAGCCTGCTGGGCTTCACGGCCTATCAGCAGGTTGAAGTGCGTGGCCAGGTGACGCCGCAGCAAGGTCTTGTTTGGCGGAATGTTGAGCAGCAGAGCCAGGGTCTCCACATTGAACCGGGGCTCTAAGACCTGCAGGTTCGAGACCGAGGCTGCAAAATCACAAGCGTCCAGCTACCTAGAGTGAACTCAGATTCCTTGAGAGGTGCAGATATTTACAAAAGCATGCAAGACCCTTAACTGTCATTAGTCACCTTCCTCATACCACATTCTTCCATTTCACCCCTTGCTTCTCCATCCTTACATTCTGACAGCATTTCTTCTCAATTTCCACCTCTGGTCATTTAATCCATTCTTTTAAACAGAGTAATTAAGCACAGCTAAATTTCACAGGGTCCGTCATGGTCCCCCCCCGCCTTACCATCAGCCCCCCGTGGACGCCACTCCCCCGCAGGTTGGGCGCATACTCTGCCAGGTCCACAGAGCGCAGCCACTCCATCACCCGGTGATTGGTCCACTGAGAAATCTCCGCTGGAGTCACATTGTTCTGGGGCAGGATGGGGGACGATGAGTGGAAAAAACCTCCTACCAAGCCTTCATATGGCCAGACGGACAACACCAAAACCCCCACCCCCACCCAAACCTCATCCAATGAGCCAGGTCCCACACCTCATCCGAGGGCCGCCGACGCAGGCAGTTCGGCTCAAAGTGGTTCAGGCGCAGCACCTGGATGGCCCGTTTGATGCTCAGATGATGGAGGACGCTACCCACTTTCAGAGACAGGAGGTCATCCTGAGGATACGCAGTATGATAGTTTCTTACGAGCATGCAATTACACAAAGGTCACTAAATACAGGCGTCCAGCCGATCGCAATACGGGTGACACGAAATTACAGGGGATGAGGAGAACGTGGTCAGGGATACATTGTAAATTGAAGGAGTTATACCGGGTAAACAGGAAGTAAAGGGTGAGACAGAGGTCACAGGAAACATGGCTAGACTGTAGGCTGCCCATCGCTAGCAAGGGAGGGGGCTTGACATACTGTCCCTATAAACAGAACCAAAATATCAAGCACCATATTTTCCATCTGTAAAAAAAACTAATTTTAAATCTTTTTGTTCTTTTTCCCTTTGTATAAAATCCCCCCCCCCCAACCCTAATTTTTACATTGCCTGACTCGTATAAATTAATATTTGCTGCTTCAGAATGGACTTCATCTAGTAGCAGATACAATGCAGACTAGTAACCGTCGGCCAAACTTGAAGACCCTCAGCTGTGTGAGACGTCGAACACATTCCTCCCCAAGAAAATGCCGAGATGCAGTCTGACCACACCAGCTGGGCGCCTCAGTTCAACCTGCTCCCGAGGTGAACCGTGTAGTTACCACAGTCATGTAGTGCAGCATGCGTCCATCCACCCTGCCCTCGTCGAACTGGGTCTTGTACTGCGGCAGGCCGATGTCATCCAGCCACACTGCAAGAGAAGCACGTAGGCCTGCTGAAGGCAGTCTGCCACTGCGCAGTCAGAATTAAGAACAGAGACTTGGAATCCCTCAGAATCCCTGCACTTATGATAGCTGTGTCCAGTTGCTATAGCAGTGCTGCCCAATTTGCTCTTTGGGGACCACAGACTGTTCACATTTTTGCTCCTACAGGGAGCTGGGAGGGAGCAAAAATGTGAAGTCTGACAGGAGACTCAGAGGGAGCAAAAACATGGACCAGCTATGGGTTCCCAAGAACCAGATGGGGAAACACTGGCTACAGTATTAACCCGTCCTTGGGAGAACCACCTTTATACACCGAGGCGCCCCAGGGGCAGCAGTACTGCTGAGGTCACTCACTGGCCACCCAGGTGTAGTCCAGCTTGCCCTTGTTATCATCCTCCTCAGAGCCCAGCGACTGCAGGGCCAGCTGGAGCTTCTTTCTGTGGAGGGGGTGCTTGATGCCCATCTCCTATGCAGTGGGAGGTGGGCAGCCAGTTAGAGACCAGGTCAACACTTACATTCTACTCAGGAAAAATAAGCAGCATTAAATGCCATATTTAATTCAAGGCAATCGATCTGCTCTTATATAACTATACAATATAAGAGCTATAAAGGGTCGAAGTTCTTTAACCATTACGCCACCTACTACCCCTGCTTTATATATTATGCTTGCAGCATATGATACAGACATTTGTAAAATCACACACGAGCTTGAACTTGTCAAACTGCTAGTGAGCAAAGCCCACCTTCTCCAGGTCCTGCTGGGACGCCTGCAGTAGAGTCTGCCCGGAGAGCACCCAGTGCCTGGCCTGAGGAACGTACATGCCCAGGCCCTGCTCCTGCAGCCAGCTGCACACCTGCTCTTTCGTCCACCTGGCAAAGGGCGTGTCCAACTCGCTGCGACAGAGGAGAGGGATGCCCTCATCTCAGCCACAGAAATAGCCATCTTGCCGCAATAACACCCCATTTACAGCTATTCCACATGGCAGGAGCTTGCAGTCACAGGACACGACTGTCCTTTTCACCACTCACTTTCTGGTGTTCTGCAGGTCACGTGACCAGCCAAGCCTGGGTCCGGCGGTGGACCTCACGCCACCCCGCTTAAACTCCGTCTCGGACATGTCGTCGTCGGGGTTGAAGGTCGTGGATTGACTTCTCTTTAGCCTACAGAAGCAATTATTTGCATCGAGTACATTGTAGTCATAATTAATCATGATTTATTACTGCCCTCATAAATATTCTAAAAAAGGTTCAAGCCTCACTGTGACCCAGTACTGGATAAGTAGTCATGGAAGATGGAATATTCAAAATATCCTACTGTAGAAATTTTTGTTTTTTACAATCTATAACTTTTTGTAGTTTGATGATCATTCATAATAAATAGATAATCTTTTGATTCTCAGAAATAAAAAAATCTAGCGCGATAACCAGTAGGGCTGGAATTTAGTCCTACACACCAATCCATTTTGAATATTGCATTTCATGGGCTTTGTCCTGTCCAGATAAATTCATACTGGACATTTTCATTCCAGGTGAAATACTTAACATTTATGCATCATCTAAGACAGTGTGTCCTCAGGGTTTTTCCTCCAGGACCCCCAGATGCTCCCTGTTTTTGCTCCCTCCCAGCTCCCTGCCAGACAGTGCAGGTTTTTGCTCCCTGCCAGACAGTGCAGGTTTTTGCTCCCTGCCAACTCCCTGCCAGATGGTCCACATTGCCGCTCAAATCTCCCACCCCCACCAAAGACGCATGCTTTGGCTCCAGGAAAACTCGCTCGTCCTTCAGTTGTGGCTTCCCCAAGATCAAGGGGCGCAAGAGGATGGCCCGCAAAAATACAGACTGACTGGGGATCCTCAAGGACTGGGGTTGAGAAACACTGCTTTAGGATGTAGGTTCTGATGTGAACTTTAAAAACAAGTCTTGTTCTTTGCACCATCTCTGACTGGCCCCAGGCTACATGCTTTTAACCAAGTGCAAGCTGGGAGATGTGCTTAGTCATCACCCTTAGGATAAAATTACTGTGCTTTTTCCCCGAACACAATCATCTGAAACATATTTCACTTAATCATAAATGGTCAGGGAGGAGCTGAACCAAAATAGAGTTATACGACAACAAAGTATGTAACAGAATACGGTCATTAGGAACTACAGTACAGAGAACTTCAGCTTAAACTGCTTTTAAAATCTGGGAGGTCTTATGCATGTTACTTCAGAAATGTACTTCAAATTTCAGGAAATTACACCTTAAGATCAAACAGCAGTCATACCTTTCCGTTTAACAGTCACTTAACGAGCTGCCTGTAACGAAAACCAGCTGGTGGAAGAGACCATTTTCTAAACCAACTCACTTTCCGAAGAACTTCTTGATCCCCTTGGATTTCTTCTTGCCCTCCGGCGAGGAAGGCAGGGTGTTTGTGCTGTCGCTGTCACTTGTCCGGCGAGGTATTCCTGCAAGGTCCAGGTGCTCAGTGCCCTCCCGCTCTGTTTCTGCTGCAAATGCACATAAAGGGTTAACACTGGGTGAAACTACAATTCCCACAATTTTCACTAAATGACTACAACGCTAATCAGTAAACTACGTTTCCCATAAGGCACGAGAGCACCACCCAGGCATCTAAACAGAAGACAATACTCAGTGCTGGTTTCACTGTAATAAAAAAATAAAATTATATATAATTTTTTTCACTGAAATTGAACAGAAATTTAGCTTCTACAGAGAAAGCTTCAGTTTGACAAATATGTATCAACAAATTTTTAGGAAAATTTAAGCAGGCAAAAAAATACATATTACAGCCAATTTCTGGAAATATAGCAATGGCTCAGTAAACGACATCATTTGGATAGAAAAAACCAGTACTGAGTGCGGATACAGTGCACACGGAAGCCCCCAGGAATGCCAGAGTAACCGTGGGTGGTGAGTAGACACACACAGGATGGAATTATGGGATGGAAAAAAAACCAAGACTGAACCCCATCTTCAGAGAGAAGCCAGTTCTTTACACTACTTCACTTAGGTGGCATAATTGCAGATGACGTCCAATTGTGGATAAAGAACAACTGGATATTTTTTAAAGGGAGGGAAGTATCATGAAGGCAGTAAAGCATACAGCAAAAAAAAAAAAAATAATCACACATTTAAGAAGGCGGTGACAAAGCTAGCTTTTTACGATCTCAGAGAACTTATCTAGGCTGACTGTACTTGTAAGATCACCACCAACCCCTAACCAGTGAAGCTGAATGACAGAGACCGAATGACATGGCTGTGTTTTGGATATATGACAGTCATAGCAAGAGTTTAAAATCGCATCTTCATGCGTCTTAGCCATTCTCATGTGATTCGCTGTTTGGTGGAATAGGCTCCAAGGTGCCATCCCTAATACACTGCCCACTGAGCACAGACCTCCAATCTCCTGCAATGCAGACATTAATGCTGACACTGCCATATACTATATATACACAGTACCAGTAGGATTTGGACACACCTTCTTCCCATAGAAGGGTTTATTTGTACTATTATTAACATTTTTGGCTAATCACAAAGCCATCAAAACTATAAAAATAACACACATGAAACTATGCACTGACCAGAAAAGTATTAAACAAAAAGAAAATGTGTTTGAGGGGGTGGCTGTGTGGGTTGGGACTCAGCAGGTTGCTGGTTCAAATCCTTGGGTCCGCAGAGTGATCCCACCATTGGGCCCTTCAGCAAGGCCCTTAACCCCAACTGCTCCAGGGACTGGCTGACGGTACTGTCTCCTCTACACCAGTTTCATGAGGTGGCCTCCTGGGAAGCTTTTCCAGCCGTCCTGAAGGAGGACCAGCATATATGTCGAGAATTCACTGGCCACTTTCTCTTCACTCACTGGTCAAACTCCTCTCAAACCATTTCTGCTGTGTTTTGGTCAGGTGGCCAAGTCATGTGACATGACACCATCACTCTCCTTTGTATGCAACTTTGTGTGTTTAAACTTTTGACTGGTACTGTATATAGAACGGAAAGTCCACCCTGCCCATATAATTCTACTCAGCCCAGCTTATACTGTTTGTGTGCTTAGCCAGCATAACAGTAAAGCTAAATGCTTTCACATTATTCCAGAGATCACAGGAGGGGGGGCATCCAGTTGTTTGCTTGTACCCAGCTGGGCCATACTGCAGGGCCTTCAGCGGCGGGAGTCCGTACTGTACCTAACGTCGGCACGCTCGCGCTCCGGCCACGGTCTTCAGGACAGGACACAGCAGAGGACAAGGCAGAGGACACAGGTTACAGGGTGACAAGGACACAGAGGGTAGTGGGGACGGGGAGGTCATTTAGGGAGAGAGACACTCACCACAAAAACGGGAGTGAGGAAACGCCAAACACAAACGCCCAACAGTACAAAGTTAGGCTTGTTTCCACACTACTGATACACTGGACAGCCAAGTGGGAACAAGAAGCAAACCAGGCAATTTCCTGCATATTACCCTGCAGCTTGCTCCACTGCAGCTGAGGCACCAACAGCGAGTCTGGCCACGAGTCATCTTTTTGTTGTAAGAAAATCTTACACTGCTTCAGACGCGACGTGAGTCACCCAAGGCGAGAGCGCAAACTGAGGGGGAGGGAACTGCGCCGTGGGCGGGTGGCCCTCACCCAGATTTGGTGCACTGGCCGTCCTTTTGCCCCCCTTGATCTTGAAGAAGCCACGACCGAACGACGAGCGAGCTTTCCTGGAGCCGAAGCTTTCGTCTTCGGTGGGGGTGGGAGACTTGGGCGGCAAGCTGACGATCGTGTCGGCCGCGTCGCTGCTTTTGCTCTGCGGGATGGAGGTATCATGTTTCATGCCAGGTAAAGCAAGAATAATGGCATGCCATTAATACTACACAAAACATTGTACATTTGCAGATACTGAATCACCACTGTTGTCTCACACTTGCAGGGTTGATGGTCTGAATGCACTCCCTCTGTCATATGAATGTCTAAAGGTGTCTCTAAATTGTGCAGGCCCATTGTTGTGTGCCCCACCCCCCCTTCCTGAGCCTGTACCGGATAAGCAGTTGAATAATACCTAGGATGGGTGTCACTGCAAATGACCAGGGCATTATGGGAGATGGCACATATTAATCTTAAATTTAATTAATTTTGCACCATATTTTTTTTTATTTCCATTGACAGAAACATTGTCAGGCTAAATACATTTTAAAAAAATAACGTGACAAGGCTTTTGCACAGAGCCCATCTGCACTAAAAACACACCTCCAAAATAATCCTAAAACAACTTGTCACTAGATGTCCAGCACAGCAAGGATGTGCAGCAATGCATCATAATCCCTGCAGGGGGTGCTAAGGGACCTTGTGTCCACACACAACTTCCTATGACTAATGTCAGTAGATGCCCATTCATGTCCATGTCAGTAGATGCCCATTCATTCATAAAACAGAGGAAATAGTCACCATTTATCAGTTGGTTGAGTATTGTGTGTGGGCCTCAAGTTATTTTGAAAGCTGATTTTTTTATTTAAACATTATTATTATTAGGGAAGATCAGGTTGAGTAAGGCTGAGGAATAAAGTGACGAAAATGCAACTGAAAGATGATTTTACCAGACATTTTACATAACAGCTGTGGTTTAAAAACCTAGCGAAATTAAAAAATCTCTCTATTAATATTTGACAACAAAGTATTAAATAATCATTAAATAAGAACTGGTATTTTAGTGCTTTTCTCTATTTTGGAGGACTGCTTATAAACAGACTAAACAGAGGTGACTGGTTCCAGGTGTTCACAGCAGGCTGTTCTGCTCCATCTGGGGCTTCAGCGTGAGCTTTGCTAAAGGGCGCAGTCTCCTTGAACAGGCTCCCCTTGTGGTCAGAGACACGCCTTTGGCACACGTGCACACGTGGTGAAACATGAGCACGGAAACCAAAACCTCCCCCACGTGTGCACATTCCTCTTAGGCGCACATACACTTCACATTTTCTGCTGAATCTGTACTTTCTGCCATTAGAATAGACATTTTGGATTTCAGATTCTGATTAGTACAGTCAACTTTGTTGACATGTTGCTCACTCATTAAAACAACCCTAGTAACATTCACTCTGTCAGCTGTGTAGAATCGGGCGAGATCCCTCTAACCTTCTCAGTGCTGTCCAGGTTGTCCACACTGCCTGCCTTGGCAATACCTTCTGACCTGCAAAGTGAAATCCCAGAGTGGTCAGAAGTAACAGGCATATCTTCATACAGGAGTGACAGAACAGTGGCCTTCAGCCCAGAGCAAAACCACGGAAGAAAGCCTCAAGATAGAAAATGCAATGCCTTAAGAGCGCACTCACTGCAGACTGTCGCACAGTGCAGATTCCTGGGTAATTGACACTGCCAAGGTACTGCAGGAACGGAAACAGAGGTGTTGAGCAGTTAACGTGGATGGGACTGGAACAGCTAGGTAGGAATGTTATTGTGAATCCTGTTCTCCATCTTCAAAGGGTCTGCATTAATCTGATTTTTTATCTTAGACAATCATGGTATGAAATTATCCAAGAGAAAACACCATGGTATTATGTATTATATTCATACTATTATGCGATAGATTGCTGACACTGGGAGGTGACAAATCTGAAGATGGCAGAGGTGAACAGAGAGTTCCTGACAGAACAGGACACAAGAACATACAAATGGGTTACAGTAAAGCTCACCTGTCGACTCCAGGGACCTTGTCTACGTTCGTCTCAGAGGAGGCCTTGTACACGGTTGGAGATCCATGGAGGAGGTCGGGGCATGGTGCTCGCTTCATATAGAACAATAAGGAGAGAAAGTGGAGAAAGAGTAGGGTAGAGAGAGAGAGAGAGAGAGAGAGAGAGAGAGAGAGAGAAAATGGAGAGAGGGTTCATTTCAGGGCCATCAACATCTCCAAATTTGCCAAGAAAATGCCAGAAGTTATTTACTTTCATGACATTAAGAAACATCCTAGCAGGTGAGGCACTGACCTGTTATTAGCTCAGTCTGACTCTTCCTACCACGAGACACAATGTGTACCTCACTTTTTGATAAGTTCCGGTCAGCAGAACCTTTTAGGGCGTTTTTCCACCGCACCAGGTACCGTACTTTTGGTACTTTAGGTACTTCCATGAAGTGCCGAAAGTTTGGTACTTCTTTCATGTCGGTTTTCCACTGGCGTAAAAAATGGTACCGGTGCCAAATGACATCATCAGTGACCGCCCCTGACTGACAGCCCAAAAGTAAAACTAACAGTTGAGGCTGGAAAATGCGGTTTATTGTTATGACAGCTTCTATCACAGTATAAGATTTAGTAAAATCCTAATCATGCTGCCATCAATTACATTTACGTAGGTACACTTACTTTGGCTAAGCTGATCAAAGCAGTAAGAATTAACTTACTGCTAATTCAGTCTTTTGAAAGCAAACAAATTATTTAATTATGTTTTTTGATTTTCAAGCGGCATTGTTCGGTGTTTCGCGTGTGCCCCATTTCTTCCAAGCGGCTTGGTATTACGGTGTTCCGGGCAATTCAGTTTCCCTATGTTTCTCCTGTCTATCAGGAAATAATGTTTCCCCTAATATTAAAGCAAAGAGGTATGTGAAATGTCTGAAAATCACTCAGGTACATTATTACATATGAATACAGTAGATCGTCACGCATAATATAGTCTTATAAGCAATAGGCTACTATACCGTTTTCATCAAGAAATATCTCTATCCACAGAATTAAGTAATTTCATTTATTATCTGTAAAAACAAAAAACATAGAAAAGGGATGTGATGTTTTAAAATTAATATATGGCCTGTTTACCTCAAGAGCTTCGTAAAAAGACATGAAAACAACAGCTAAATTGTACAAATCAGCGCGCGACAGGGGAAACATATAGGGAAACTGAATTGCCAGGAACGGCAAAAACTTTTTTATTTCGAGTCGTGCCATCCAAATCCCACTGGATCGGTTCATCCGACCATATGGCGATTAAAGCCTGCGTTTCCTCGTTTGTCCATCCTTCCATTTTACTTTTTTATATTTTTGTTTCTACTGCTTTTTATTTTGTTTCTCGCTGTGATCGCTCTGTTCGCTGTGTGTTTCAAAAGATGGCGGTTGTATTTTGTGTTTCAGCGACATGCTATTTGCATAACCAATCGACAGCAAATACGTCTGCAAGTCCCACCCCAAAGTACCGAAGTACCAAAGGAGTACCCCAACTGGTTTGGCACTTTTGGTACTCGAGATTTCGGTACTGGTGCTCGACCGGAAGTCAATGGAAAAGCGAAAGTACCGAAAGTACCGTACCGAAAGTACCGTACTTTGTGCGGTGGAAAAGCGCCCTTACATAACTGTGCGGTACTTAGCAAGCAGCCATAAATATGAACTGTGTGCTAATTTGCTTGACTAAAAAGCTGCTTTGAGCGAGGAAAAAAAAATTTTAATCAATAAACTAGTAGAGCTATCATGGTCTTCAGCCACATTAAGAAGCCATCCTTAAGATTTGAGCACCAGACACTCAGCTTGTGGAACCATTTGGATGCTGGAGGAGATACCTCATCTGGGCTTTTTCTGATCATGTCCTCAAAAATTGGGGAGGACGGCTTCTCCAGCTCAGCAGCCACAGAAGCCATCAGAGATGCAGAGGCGTCACTGTAGGTCTCATCACTGTCCCCATCTTTCAGCTTGTCTAAAAGTGATTTATCACATGTCAGGAGACTGGGAAAAACTATTAAAGGGAATTCCTACTAAAGTAAATGGAATTCCCTTTACTTTAATTAGAAAGTTTATAGTGACTAACGCCCCCTGGTGTTGGTTTTTTCCCCACACCTTTTTTTCCCTGTACAGACATCACCATGTCTTGGACCTTCTTATAGCGATTTAGCGACTGTCGTAGCTCCTCGATCTTGCGATCCTAGGGACAGGCGTAGAACAGCGGGAGTAAAATCAGAACGTTACCTGGGAGATGACGTAACCTAGGCAACACCGTCGGCACAGAAACGGCGTCAGGGTACAGAAATCAACCAACCTTCTCCTCGTTCGCCGCCATCAGTGACTCCACAGCCTTCTTCATTTTCTGTACTTCGAAGTCTGAGGGGGAGGGATTAAAGTAAATTTAATATTAAGCGTAAAAGGAGCCGGGATCTAGCTCAGAATCTCGAGACGTGGGACACACAGGTCCAGACAAACCCAGATCTTTGGATGGGGCGGATAGTGTTTAACACAGAGCACATGCCTAGAGGAGTTTACGGCAGAGCCTGGTGACAGCATGTGATGGTGGCGCCGCGAAGGAAACGTGTTAGCTGCGCGTGCCAGTAGGGGGCAGGGTAGGGCACAAGGGTGGGACTGGACAGATTGGGGTGGGGGGGGGCAGCCACAAGAGCAGGAAGGACAGAGGCAGCCTAGTGTGGCTGAGGAGCATATCCACGGAGCGCGTACACAGTGACAGACGCTACTCCCCGAATTCCTGGAGGATTGACCCAGTCTATTTAAATTCATCCCACCTAGAATGAGCTTTCCTTCATTATTTAAAATCATGCTGGAAGGATCACTAGCCACTCTCCTCTAACACTAACAGAGATACATGCGGGATTCCAGAATGTGTACATCATACACAAATGCCTGTCTTTACATCCTAAGGTATTTTCTGTATCCTAGAGGCACTTCCTGACTTACAAACGCAAGTCAGACATGTGGATGGAAGTTTCTTTATTTACTTATGATGCATTTCCCCCAGTAAAGGAAGCCCTCCCACACATGCGGATATCCACAATACAGGGCAAAGGGCTGCATCATGCAAAAAAAAATTTCATTACCACCTAGACTAGAAACACACACAATATCAAACCTTCTCTCAAGAACCTGCAATTTTTAGGTACAACAAAACAGCAGAAGCACATGCCTGTAGATTTGGGGAGAAAATACGTCGGTCAGACACAAGGTTTGAATCCACAACCCTGTAGCTGCCCGGCTACGCCACACCCCTGACCATCCCTTGGTCCTATCGCTCGGCGAAATGTGTAAAAATAACATTCCAGTGCCTCCAGATGTTATCCAGTGCTGGAATACCCCCCTCCCACACACACAAGCCAACACTTAACGATAAAGCCACTATTTTGCTACAAATAGCAAACATCCTGCCTGTTTTTCACGAAGCGACCGACTGATTCAGACGCAGTTGGCAGTGGTACGTAAGGGTCTCTGAAACGGTTCAAATGTTCCTCAGAACACAGAGGTGGGTGACCTCGCCCATAAGCTGCGAACAGCACACCAGCAGGTCAGGCTTTGCCTGTACATGCAAACTATGAAGACAGCAGACAGAGACATGGAGAGATAACCGAAAGACCCCCACCCCCACCCTGCTCCCTCTCCCTTACGTTTTTCTTTCAGCTTCTTTTTATAAGACTCATCTGTGGGGGAGACTGAGCAAGACACAGATTGGTTAAAATGATTCGCTTTGTGCAAAATGCTCATTTAACAAAATCTACAGATCTGTACAGATACAAACACAACTTAGAGTTTCTTAACACTGACCCTAAGGACCCCATAGGTATCCTGGTCTTTTGGCTGCAGTCCTAATTAAGCTGTTGACTGAATTCTCAATGGCCCCCTCGATACCTCCCTTTGCAATTTTTGCATTTCCCAGCTTCAGTTGCATTTTTCCAGCAGCAGTGTTGTTACATGTGTGAAATGTTATTCCTATTGAATAAAAACATGTTCTGGATTGGGCTGGAGAGACTAGATAAGCCAAACATTAAACACTTGACTAGGGTAGCACAGTGATGAGCGCCTGCCTCACACTGCCACCCCTAGAGGTGTGCAGGTTCTCCCAGTTCTCCCAGTATAAAGGCTCACGATTAAACGGAATGGTGTCCCTCAAGCTAGGTAGACACAAGTCGATGGCAAAACACTAGCACCGTGGCCGACAAGCGATCGCCATTGTCAAAATTTGCTCCGGCACATACTGTACCAGCATGACTAGAGGTGATGACTGACGTACAGTCCAATCAGAACTTCGATACCAATTCAATATGCTAAAAATCTGCCAAAACAGCCCTGACGGGGACAGACTTGGTCCGGCCGGCCGCACACACTGGCACGATAAGCAATCACCACCTTTCATTGACAGCCGGACAGCCCAAAAATCCGCTTGGTATGTTCCAGGCTTAAATTTCCCATAGTGTGCATACATGTTCTGTGGTAGACTGGCATCCTATTCAGGCTGTACCTCCGTTGTCTGCTCAATGGACAGACATTTTTTTTTGCACAAATCTAGCTCTAAACACAATGGATGGGCCTTGCAGCTTTTGCTAGATGTGACACCTCCACCAGTGGCTCCCTAAGCCTTATTACGGAGTTAAGGAGAACTCAAGATTTACATGGGGTCCTCAGGAACAGGATTAGGAAACCCTGATCTGTTCATTCTGCCATGTCTCAAACTGTTTGCACAAAGAAAACAAGTTATAACAACAAGCGTAATGAAAACCAAAACCATTATTTGAGATACAGGTTGATTCATTAGGAAGCCTTCATCCAGATTGACATTTAAAATTCCGTTAATTTTTTTTAGAATTAATATCCAGTAAAGCAGTATAAAGGGCTTATATGCCGCCGTTTACTACTTCACATCTGCCAATGAGATCAAAGTACTTTGGGCTTGTGCATGTATGGGTAGGTGCACATTTTTGGAGAGAATTTCACATGCTTGTTGTGTAGAGCCGGGAATTGCGCCGGCGTGTATCGGAGCACGCTCTCACCTTTCTCCGCTCCTTCCCTGCTTTCCGTCGATTGGAAGTGCGCCTCGCCCTGCAGTCTCTCCAGCTCTACGTCTCGGTTTTCCAGCTGCCTCTTCAGTGTTCCCAAGTCATCCTGTCCGACACAGGACAGCATTAGAGTTCTGTGCCCACCCAGAAGCCCCCGGCAGCAACCAATCACTTCTGATAGCGGGCGAAAAGCATGCAAAGGTACCAACTGCACTTGAGTCGCCTCAAATGTGCACCTAAAGAAGCCCTCAACTGCAGGCTTTAGTCTGCCTCTCTAGGGGCTCCATCAAAGAGTAGAGTAATCTGTCATCCACCGAGGACAATGATCCCTTCAGGGATCCCTACATATCTATCACCACAAGCTCTTCAAATTGGGCTTCAACTTCCAGTTCAAAGCCATTTAAAATCAATGACCCTACTCATCTTTACCTGACTGAAAGTGTTTAAAATGCACCTTTTGAGAGCTTAATCTTGCTTTGACAGAACTTTGACAGTAACCAGTGCCATCTCATGCCATGTCCAGTTTGGAGACTTTCTGGAAATGTTCCTTGGTTCAGATAGAAATCCAGAGAGCACTGCTTGGGCCAATTCCTAGCAGAACTGGAACTTCAACCATCCCAGCTGCAGTCACACTGGCCCGCTCCCGTGCAATTTCACGGTAATAAAACCGGATCATGCAGGAAGTCAACACACACGGGCAGGTCAGGAACACGAGAGGCCAGCGACAACCACACCTTCAGGGCTTGGATTTTGAGGTCCTTCCTCTGTTTCTCATATTGTATCTGCCCAACTTTGATTTTCAGGCTAGAGAGTTTAGCCATTAGAGACTAGCAGCAGAGCAGTTAGCAAAGGGAGAAACGGAAAGGTAAAATTAATAATGACAGCGATAGGAAGAACAAACAAGTGCAGAAAAGAAATTAAGAGCTATGAAAAAATACCTTCAAGAATTAGATTGGTTTAAGTCCCAGTTCCCTATTTTAATTGTCATATTTGTAAAGAAATCTCAAGAAAGAGAGAAGAGTGACATAGCAGTGCGCAGTTTAAGAACAATCACTCATGGCGCATGACTGCACATAAGCACACAGTAACGCAAATCCACTGAGCACAGGGAAAACCTGACCTTGGTGGATTTCAGTTTTTTCTCATATTGCAGTCGTTCGTCCTCAATTTCTTTCACTCTGTACCTCAGCTCACTGATTTCCTGGATCAATCCCTGGGGAGACAGAAATCCACTTCAGGAACATGACCAGAGAGAGTTACTTACAAACCTAGGGGCCAAACTATTATTGAATTAATCGCGAGCTAACACACAGCACTTAGCACATGGAAGCACGCGTTCATCACTCCTGGTTCCAGTTGAAGCAAAGCCAGCTCCAAACAACCAGTGATTTCATTCCTACACAGCTGTAAGTCAATGTAGAAAAAAAAACAGAAAACACACAGGAAACTGAGGCACAGAGGAAGAAAGATGTCTCTGATCAAGGTTAAAAAAGTCAAGCCTTTCAGGAGCACTTTAAGCGTGCAATGGACTAATCAATGCTTAGCACTGCTACAACAATTTTTGGAAAATGCCCCCTCTTGGGTACAGCCACCCACTCTCAAGAAACAAGTCATCTATACAACATTTTTGAGCTCTCCCTGGAAAATTTGATATTTGCCCTTCACCAGATATCTGCCCAAGGCACAGCAATGAAAAAGAGCAGCTTTGACACTTATACATTCCTGACCGTTAGGATAGTTTTAAAAAATAGCTTTTGCCATAAAACTTTAGCTAAAATGGTTCATATGACTGGTTCTGGTGACCCACATCCGAACCAAGCACTTGAGTGGACTATAAAAGGAAAGTCAATTTTTAACACCAGTAGATCCTGCAGGTCCAGCAATATCCTCCTGCAGCCCAAAAACATGCAGTTCAGCTTGACTGGAGTCAAACATGTCCCTGGTTTTAGGAGTGTCACTGATTTCCATGCAAAGGATAGGCACCTCAAACAGAGTGCCCCTTGTTACAGTGATAAGTAAGCAGTTAAGCAAGATGGGTGGATGGTTTAGGAGCATTTAGTCTTCCACCCAAGTAAGGTCAGTGATGTCAACTGTAAACCTGCACATACTTCAGGCCATTATGTTCATCAAATGCTCAGGCTCTCACTCAAGATTGACTCTATGGTGAGAAAGTATGACACACCTTTGGAAGTTTGGAAGGTATGACCACCAGCCCTTACCTCACTGTCCCTGAACCCATCATCAAATTCCAGCGGGTCCTTCCCCATAGTGGTGAGCTTCATGTTCAGGTTGGAGACCTCGGCCATCAGGGCCAACTTCTGCGTCTCCAGAGAGGTTCTGCTCAACAGCTCCTGAAGGTAACAAAAGCCACAGCATAATACCCAGGTCTAACAACACATGATTATCACATGGACAATTACTCTTTGGTTAGTTTTGTATTTAACCCATTTTGCCACCAGCAAGCAGACCTGGAATTGAACAAAAACCAGAATGGAAAGTTGCTTATGGTTAGTTTCATCCACAGTAACTGAAGAAATGCTAGTTACATTACAAGTAACTGGTCCAGTCATCCGGTTCATCTGAAGTGGGAAAACACTGAAACAGTTTCAGCAAAGTACTATTTTAGTAATATAGAGTTTCACATATTCCCACTGAATTGAACCGTACATCTTGCTGAACATATACTTGCCTGTTAGACTGGAGTAATGCATCAGACAATTTATAATGTTTAATGAAAGAAATTTGGTTGATAAACTATTATAATGCCCACAATTAGCACAAGGACAGAGCATGTGTCGAAAGCAACATGGTTGAAATAATACAAATAGATTATCATTTCAGACTCTGACTAGAGTACAACAAGGAAGAGCATTTTATTAATTAACTTAAGCTAATTGGCCCACTTAAAGCTAACCAGGTTTACTGAGGCAGACATGATCAAAAATGACTGAGTAGGAGGGTCACCTGTTGCAGCATTTCCTCTGTTGCATTCAGCTTTTCCCGGTGTTCCTCAAGGCACAGGTCCAAGTCCCGGATCTTTTCTCCCTGCGCTTCCACCTGGTCTGTCAACACACTCACCTGCAGAGCCACACATGCATATCACAACTGTATGCTCAGCTCTTCATCTGCATTTGCTAATCTCAAGATGCTTCACACCACATGACATCAGACTCTTAACTTAGGGATGGAAAGGCAGCATTTTGCAGCTTACCTGCAAGATCAGCGACTCTTTGTCACTCTCCAATCGTCCAAGTCTCTCCTGGTAGACATCACCCCCGAGAGAAATGTGTCCGTTTGTCTAAATAAGGAAATAAGAATGACAGACTATTTTAATTTGACATATTTATGTCTTTTAGCCTTTGTTTTTATAAAAACACAGTACAAATTAGCAATTGAGCCAGTCTTTAAATGTGCCTGAAATATGACACATGACTAAGGTGATAAACTACCCAGTTTAGAATCAGATCTCCAACCCCTTCTGATTTCCATGCTTTGGACTCTGTAGAAGAGGTGTGCAAAAAACCCATATATGATTGTTAGTTCCATATCCATGAGAAAAGATCATCCGTATTACAGACCTAGTATCTTAAACTCATTGAAGATGGCAAGTTGAAAGAACATCATTGAGGGCTTGTGCCATAAAAAGAGATTTCATAAACCCATTCACATTTCAACATTGGTAGCTGTGAACCAAATCACACACGAATGAGTGTTGTGTGTTCAAAACAGCAGTAGCTTCCTATCTATTCCCTTCATCCATCAGTCTAATATAGCATTACAGTAACAAACAGCAAATCACAGGAAGCACAGGGCTCATGGCAGGCAATCGCTGGGCATGTTTGTTTATCAGTCCCTCTGCGATGCCGGTGTTGCAGGAGGAAAACCGAGTCCCGGGGGAAACCCATGAGGATGGGGGAGACCATGACAGTGTGACACAGCTGCATAGCAGAGCCGGATATGAATGTACAGGCCGGGAGCTGCAGGGCAAGACCAGCACCCACTTGCACACCACAGCAAAGCAACTACAATTATAAGTGTTACAGTTAAAGGACACACACACACACACACACACACACACACACAGAAATGCTAATACAAAATTAAACAGTCACAGAATACATATTCCTGTCTCCAAAACCATTCAGAGGGTCCTGCTAAGGTCAAACTGATGTGTTTACCAAGTACTTGGAGGTAGGGAGGTGAACATGCACTGAAAAACAAGGAACATCATTCCTGCTAAGCCAAACTGGGCCATAGGGTCTGGGGTGACACACTGCATTCAACTGCATCCTAACTGGCTGCATATTTGGCAGTTACTTACATATTTAGAGGCGTTTCGAAAAAGTTCAGGTATACAGTTTCTGGCAGGAAATTATGATCTTTTTAACATTTCCTGATGATTTCACCAGTATTAAATTTACCCACATTGAATCAATACAACGAGAATGGCTTGAATTTAGAGAAAAATGTTTTCATCCCACATCTGGCCACCTCAAACACTCCGTCATGCATGTTTCGCTTTAAGGGCCCCTAGAGGCAGCCATGTGACGGAAACCCCAAGATTGGTTTTATTTCTATGTGAATGAGGTAAAACCGCCAAGCCCGTTAGGTGTTTGGGGGGAAAACTGATACGGAAAGGGGCTCAAAAGGGGCCAATTTGGGAAGGTCCCTGCAGACCACATCAGCTCTAAAGCTGCAAATATGTTCTACAGCCTTCTCTTTGGTAGACATCAATCCATCCTCAACCACAGTGAGAGAGAAAGAGGCAGACAGCGAGGCAGACGATTGAAAATCAGGCCTATAATAAAGTGGAGGACAGAGTGCTTTTTTTTCTTTTTTTAAAAAAAAATATTTACGGGCTCTCCTTCCAAACACACACAGCACTGCATTCAGCCCTATCCTGACGCCTGACTCCAGGACCACTTTGTTCCACTACATTTAAAGCTTTCAGATGAGCACGGTTACATCACCAGGTCTGATGTAACCCAGACGACACGGAGGGGCCCCCTTACGGCGCTGCTTGCTGCTTCCAGGGACAGGCTACTGCGTTTAGGACACATACCAGGGATGGTTCACCGGGTGCAGCCTAGCTGCCGTGAAACGGGGACAAAGCTTACCAGCCTTAAAGGGGCAGTTCACCAAAACTGAAAAAGATGCATTTTAGAGGAGCTTCAGTGCTATCTATCCATCTAGGTTGTTCTGCTGGGAGTTGCTTAGTTTTAAAAATATTCGCTGGGTTTCTCTCGAATATAATGGGAGTGAAGAAGTGCCAGAAGAATTAATTTTTCAAATGTATCTAACAGCAATGTCTCTACCCAGAAATCATGACCCGGTCTTTGCAAACTATTTTCTTCTACTGAATTCCATACACCGCACAGAAGATACAAGCACAAGCACTCCAAGGGTATCTTCTGCACAGTGATATGAGCAACTAGGCCATGATTTCTGGCAAGAGATGTTGTCGTTGAATTGTTCTAATGTATTTTTTTGGTGCTTTAATCACTACAGAAAGAACGCCACTCAATCTCATTATATTAGAGGAAAGCCTGACATTACTGTAGCAGATATCTACAAAACTAGGCAAATCCCAGAACAACAACCTAGATGGAGAGATAGCACTAAATCCCCTCTAAAACATCTTTTTTCAGTTTTGGGGTGAACTGCCCCTTTAAAACAAAAGCAAAATCCACATTAGGGCTGTGCAATATAGCATAAAATTCATATTGCGGTATAATTTGAACCATAGAAGGTAGACGGTATATATTGGGGTATATGATTTGATCTGTAAATTTCAATATAACTGTTTTTGAAAGGGTAACATATGTCCATAGCAAAGGCATTGCAGCAGGAAGTTGTATAATAAACTGTTAACACATTTCAAAGTAGTCGTGAACGTAGAATATTTATTGTGCAAATTTGCAATTATAGAAAAAATATGAAAAGATTTCAAGTAACTTCCCTGGGTTTATCTTATATTAAAAACACAGGTTTGTTTTGTAAACTGTAGGTAAGCAGAAAACAAGACACAGAACCTGCAAGGGTTCGGGTACCCGACGGGTGACCCGCAAATTTTGATGAAACGGGTGAAAAATATTCTACTGTGTCGGATACGGGTTCGGGTCGGGTCGGACTCAGGAGAGCACGGGTCTAAATTGCGGTTTTCAAAACATCATGTGCCAACAAAAAATACCATAGGGCTATATTTTAGTGACACAAAAAAAATCCTGGCATTCAAGATGATAAAACGTTAAATCCATATCAGTTTATGCATGCATTCCCAGAAATCTCTCCCACTTTCATTTTCAAAAAAACGCATGCGATCTCCCGCAGTTGTTCGAAACGGATGCTGAGGAGTTGAAAAGAAAACTAGCAAGTGTAGAGTTTAAAGTTGTGGCCAATAACTCCACTAAAATCAAGTGTGGGAGAATTTCGGAGATCTCAGATAACGAAAACAACTCTTTTGACGTCTTGTCTTGGTGGAGAGAGCATGAGCGTTTGTTTCCCAATATTGCTCATATTTGGAGATCTACTCTCGCCACCCCGGCATCCAGCACCGCAAGTGACCAAGATTTCTCATGCGCCGGAAATGTCATCCAGGAGCGAAGGAGTCAGCTGAGGCCATCAACTGTGGACAATATCGTTTTTTTTTTTTTTTAACTACACAGAGCACCGCACCAAACACTAGTCTTCGCCTTCGCGTAGGAATTCCAATCGGGTAATGGACAGTGCACGTAGGTAGCCTATAAAACCCAATACTGTGCAGGGTAGCCTAATGTACATTTTATATAATAGTTTTAACAACACATTTGATTGTAAGCTGGTAAGGCTATGTGTGGGCATGGCAATATCAAACATTGAGTTCGGAGGTAGGCTACTACCGTTTGTTTTGCTTATTATTAGGCTGTTATTAAGCAACATTTACATTTGGCTATGCCTTGTCGTTTGTTGTGTCAATAAACTTTTGTCTTTAATTTTGGCGGTTTGTCAAAATCAGACCCATGCAGGACTCTGCTGCCAGGTGCAGCAATAATCATATAAATAATTTTTATATAAATCATATAAATAAATTATTTATTATTTGACATGACTTGATTACGTAATTTTTGCGAGCGAGGAGGGGAAATTCTGCGGTACGGCGGTATAATCAAAATCTCTCCCGTTGGGCAAATTTATATCGTATATCGTTTATACCGCACAGTACTAATCCACACAATCGAGAATCACTGAGGTCTTCCATTTAAGTATCACCACTTTTAGGAAAATCATCACTTATTATTAATGACTGGTACATAAACCAGCTCAAACAACTCAGAAGGTGAAATAAAAAGGATCACTTGCTATCCTGCAAGGCAGGAGGACATAAGGACATAAATCCATAAAGCTAAGACCAGTTCAATCAAAATAGCCCTTCTTTCATCTTCACCTTCATTCAGTTCAAATATTCTGCTGCGATTAATAGACATTACTCAAATCAGTATGTAAAAGCAGCATTTTCCCTTCAGCACCACTCATTTAGAACAGAAGAAGTTATGATTACAGCAGTATTTTAGCTAGAGCGAACTAAGACTAATACAATCTATAAGTTTATAAACAAACCAAAACTGCTGCAGCAAGTGACGTGCACTAGATAAAATAGTTTGACACTATATTTACACTGCAGATATTTTATAGTTCACAACAGTAAACAAAGAAGCAGGAACAACTGAAAAGGTATCCTGGCACACATAGCTAGCATGCGATGGTTAACGCTGAAGTGCCTTATCTGGTATAGCGTTAGCATGCTAATGGTTACGGACACTGTTAGCATAGGCCGGAGCTTACCAGGGGTCCCTGCAGCCACTCCATCAGGTACTCAGAGGTGGAGTTGGGGATTTGACAGCGCAGGCTCTCTCGCTCCTCGGTGCCCATGATCTCCAGCGATGCCCGCAGGTCCTCTGCCAGGTGTAGCGCACGCAAGCTGCCCATGTAAGGAGACGTTGGCGATTGGCAGTCGAAGATGCCATTGGTGTAATCCAGCGCCTTGGAGCCTAGGAAAAACAATTTCTTTCACTAAAAACTCTAGCACCGAACAAACGTTTGTAGGGTTAACCCATTTGTGCTTAAGCTAAAGACCTCTTATGACCCTTCTCACTCAACTGTTAGCTCAGTTTAGCTCAGAGCTAAAAGCAAGTCATACCTTTACTTGAAATCCAACTGAATAGAAAGCAGAAGTACAAAATTGATGAAGCAGAGGACTTGTGGAAACAAGCACTCAAATCCTCAGCAAGTATTTACAAAGATGATCTTGAGCATTTCATTCAAAGGACATTCATCAAGGCAAAGGAGCCTTTACCTGCATTGCATCACTATTTTAGTGGTTGGGGATGTTCGTTTATTGAAGCTCGAAGACACAGAGGAAGAAAAACAGCAACAACACGGAGAGGGAATCAAACAGGAGGCAGAGCAGCAATCAAAGGACAGCAAAAAGGTTTCATCTCATGTTGCCAAGTCCAGAAATCTGGCTCAGACCAGACTCCTATGGACCCAAAAACACTTCTGGATTGTTGAATAATTAGTTTAATGGCAACTGATCTGTATAGTTCAGAGTAGAGGTCGACCGATATATCGGCTGGCCGATATATTGGACTGATATTTAGCATTTTTTAATGTATCGGCATCGGCCGATATCCGAGTGCACTACGCCGATTTACAGACAGGCACGTCTGCGGGCAGCCCAGTGTTATTGTTGCAGTGGAATACGTGACCTATGCTGCCTTGTACAGGACCCCAGCCAGAAGTTTTGGAAGAGTCCTGGGAGAAAACGGTAAGGCATAAATTCTGATCTTTAAAAGACCTATTTATTTAACTGGTTTGCTATGAAATGTTGCTTTAAAAGAAAACGCGAGCGCTTTTGAAAGAGAACGTGAATTACGCTGTCGGGAACTGGGGCAATGATAATGAGCCTTCAACCAACTGTAGCTTACAGGTAACGTTAAGGATCATTGATTCTGACAGAGTTAGTTTTGTGCGCTTATTGGTGGGCTCACAGATGGTTTTTTTTATTGTTAAAAATCATTTTAATTGTTAACATTTTAATTATTACCATATCAGCCCGATGTTATCAGTTGTTTTTTTTTTCTTGTGTCGGAGAGTTTCACTCTTTTTTTCATTTGAGAGCGGAGATTCGAACAATTTGTCAGACGTCTAGATAAAAAGTGCACAACTTTGAGCAGTTAATTTCCTCATTAAACATGTCTATCCTTTATACGGGCTTATCTGTCGACAATGTCACAATCACTAGGGGCTTATGTTGTCCTTGCATACAAGGCTGTGTAATACGACAAAGTCGTATTTTATTTTCCGCGATCGCTAGATTCTGATTGTGAATTTGGCTTGTAAACTGTCTGTCTGCTAATAACATAAACATGTTAGTGAAAGGTTTTGGGCCTTGTACACATACCATGATGCACTTAGTTAATAGTGTTTTTTTCTTTCAAAATTGGAGTATTAGAGTGTAATTGTTTTAATGTGCATGGAATACTGGAATTGTAGAATGAATTGAAGATTTTTTCTTCTGTTTCAGTAATTGCTGTCTGATGGATGAACAAAAATCTAATCCTGTATGGCAGCATTTCACCAAGCCAACACCAGGAAAAGCCAGGTGCAATATCTGCAGCAGACTGGTGAGCTTGGGAGCTGAAGAAGGAGTTTGCCGCTATATTGTGCACTAAAAGAGATTCTGATGCTGCTATTTTTATTGTTTATAAGTTTAAGTTGTTTACAAGTTGTATTGTGTTTTTGTTAAGTTTATATTTATATTTACACAAGTCAGTATTCAATAAATGCTAAGTTGAGAAATTTTGTGTATCATTTGTTTTTATTAGTGTGATATTTTATCATGGAAATAGAGGGGAAAACGTCCAATTTTCGGCCAAAAAATATCGGCAGCATATATCTGCCATCGGCTGACCCTGAGTCCTAAATATCGGCATCGGCTATTAAAAAACCCATATCGGTTGACCTCTAGTTCAGAGGGGATTAAGATCCAGGATTCACAAACAGATGTTTTGTTTGAGGTATCACTAGGGGACGCAGCACCAGTCACCCCACAGCATAACGGCCGCAGTTACGTGCGTAACTCAAGCCACAGGATGTCATGTGACCCGGCGCCACATTTCCAATGAAAATGTCAGCTCTATAATTAACTGAAAAATGAAGGGAGGATCCTTCTCCACATTGTTTTGCACATCAATAACAGAGCACGCCCTCAAAGTTTATTTAAATACTTTTACATGCATGATTAGAGAGAGTCAGATAAAAATATCTGTCAGGAAACTAATCTTAACCCCCTTTCCCACATTAGGGAATGGGAAGAGGAGACAGACTTTTTGCTGAAATGCAGGCATTTCTGCACCGTGTGTCTTAATGAGTGCTGACTCGGTCACCCGAGGGTGCCCCCATAGCAATCCAGCTCTCTGGATGTCTTAGTGTTACCTGCAATGATCCCATCCATCTGCTCCAAGGCTGCTGCCAACATATCACTGGCATCAGACATCATCCTCAGAACCTACAGTGACTCCTGAAAAAGAAAGTTAAAATTACCTTCTAATAACATGTAAAGCTTTGAGCAAAGTCAGCTGAGGAAGACTGTCAAAGGGCGGCTTGGCTCAGCAGGTTAGGACTTTCACATACAATTGGAAGGTCATCAGTTCAAATCCCCTGATCAGAAGAGCAATTTTGCTGTTGCGCCCCTGAGCGAAGCCCTTTCTCGAATGTGCACAGCTTTTGATAAATGTACCTGCTAGATACAAAAATTAAAACCCATTTTAAAAAGTCCATTGAGGCTAAATTATACTTAAAAAAATATGAGCATAAATTGTACAATTGAAATTAGGGATGGGCTGATCCATATTTCAGTTTCGATCCGATTCTAATATACATCTGGAGATTCCAATACAAGAGTTCTTTTTACTTAATATATTAAATATAATAAATGTATATATTTATACTTTATATATAATTAATGTTTTTAAAGCTAGTAAATACAAAACAACAAATGTATTCCAAAAGAGCTTTAATTAGGCTATTGGTAGCATACATAATGCACTGTTCCACTTTGTATGTCTTGTTTTAAGTGTGTTCGAGGCATCTGCAGTTCAATCTGAAAAAGCGAGGATACGCAAGTGGCGAATGCTTAAAACGACCCACAATTTTTCTCCCACTGGCAACAGCATCATTTGCACTTTGTTGTGATAGCAGCCCCTTAAAAGCTGCAGCAAGGGTGCAAAACAGCCCAGGCTAGCGACTCCCAAATCATCCATTGCTTTTTAAATATTACGCACATTGTCTCACGCAATTGAGTGCACTTCGTTCAGTGAGATTTTCCACTAAATGCTGCTTCCACCTCTCAAAACTGTTTCTACAAAGACTGAAAATTGCTGTGCTACTAGTTGTTGTTAAAAGTGTAAAAAAACTTTCAGATTGTCGCCCCCATATCTGATGTGCTCCTCATACGGCAAAGGGTATGCGCATGACATCACAGCAGGCGAAGTCCCTGCACTCACACCCACTGAGTGGCAAAAAGACTGAGGCAGCGTTAGTATTCAGCCACAAAAACTAATCTAAAATGGGAAAGAGCCATCGTGGAATTGATTGTACAAATCAATTAAACAAGAAATAGCAGTTCTTTTTAGTGGAAAGTATCGGATGTGGATCAGTCATATACAGCCGATACCCGATCTATCTAACAGGTCTGGATCGGTTCCAATACCGATCTGAATATTGGATCGGTGCATCTCTAGTTGAGACGGACAAGATCAGTTTCAAGCTCTGTTTGTCCATCCTAACATCCAGGAATATGAGCTCATAGGGCACAGGTAGCAGTTACTCTCCAGGCAACAACAGCTCTACACTAAAATTCTGCAGAGGGATCCAGCTTCTAAGTATATATTATGTTCAATTACATTTGACGAGACCTATTTCAGTTCCTCCGTAATAAAGTCCCATTTGCTTTGGGGTTGGTGTCTAAGCCAACAATAGAGCCGTTGTGCTAGTTTACTGCATAAAACATTCGAGACAAGAGGCTGCTGCAGAAGCAACGGAAGGACCTCAGCCAATGACTGAACCTCTTTTATACTCTGCCGTCCAATGCAATGCTGACAGAAACTCATCTACATATTTGGACAAGTCGCACTTGTGTTAAATTTTGTACAAGAAGTCAACCAGCTATGGGGCACGACAGCAAGCTGACTTCACGTTAACCATGCTAACAGATTTTCTAGGTGTTTGAGTGAATGGTTGTAAAATGTCATGTATGCTAGGTATACTGCACTCCTAGTCACCTTTAAGCACCATTAAAAATGTGTCGGCATACAGAACCCCAGTATTTTACAGATATGTACAGCAAGTAAGTTTGAGAATAATTTGGGAAGCTTAGGAACATGAACCCTCAATGCCACCATAATCACACCAGATAAGCTAAGCAGCCCATCTTATTGAATCACCCAATCCATCAACCTTTTGCCCTTATCTCCATGCTGGAAGATTTTGCTAAGCAACAGGGGGAGGGGGGGGGCACTTCAGCTACAGGAACAGCCTCCTTTTTATAACCTGATACACATCAACTTAACATTAAAATTTAAAGTGAAGCTTTACTGACCTAAGATATGTGAACTAAACAAAACCGAAGCAGCACATTGACTTTGCAGTAACTTTGTCCCAAGAAGGACAATGAGCCGGTGCCTGAATTGCAGGTGCATTGGTCACAAAAACTACAACATGCTTTAATATTTCAACGGAAAATCAAGACATCTGCCAAACACCTGTAAATTGCATCAGGAAAGAGGAAACGTGGTCTAAAAAAAATAGTCAACAAGGATAGTTGTTAACACCACAGAAGTTGGGCCTAAAAAACATACCAAATACCACAGAACTAAATCAGCTCCTCTACAAAAACTGCATGCTGTGGGATGTAAATCGTTGGCCACAAGGCAATTTGATTCAATTCAGATTATTCAGTGAACAATTCAATGTATCAGAAATCTTGAAATTTCTATCAGAATTCAATGTATCAATGTTGATACAATAAATTAACTTCAGGAAATCATTTCACAAATATTACCTTGGCAAGTTAATTACATACTCCTGATGCAATCCAAATGAAGGACAATCTCAGAACATTATGAATAAAGGAAGCATATACAGTAAAACCACGGATTGTGAGCATAATTCGTTCCGGAAACGTGCTCGCAATCCAAAACACTCGTATATCAAAGCGAATTTTCCCATTAGAAATAATGGAAACTCAAATGATTCGTTCCACAACCCAAAAATATTCATATAAAAATGATTAATACAAAATATAAAGTAAAAATACATAAAACATATGAACCTGCACTTTACCTTTGAAAAGAATCGTGGATGGTGTGGGGGAGACAAGAGGGAGGAGAGGAGGATGACTTTCACTATATCTAACGGAATCACTGCTCTGTTGGCTCACTGGAATCTTTTGCTTTTTGTGCGACTATAACAAAGAACCTATCCAATGACAGCCGCTTTTGCCTCCTTTTCGATTTTGCAGAAATGTGGACATTACATTGTCTTTAAACAGATGCATCGCTCGCACTGCTACACCCTTATTCAGGTGGTGCTTTTCTACTATATTTTGACTATACGAGTGAGGCACACGGACTGAGACCAAGCATGGGAGACGATTACCCACAATCCCGCAGCGGGAGAGAGAGAAAGAGAAGAACCATCAGCTTAGTTGTGATCATGTGACGCTCGGCAGACAAAGCGTATACTTAATAATCGTATTGAAAGACCTTGCTCATTTATCAAGTTAAAATTCATTTAAAAAAATTTGCTCGTCTTGCAAAACACTCGCAAACCAAGTTACTCACAATCCAAGGTTTGACTGTTTATAGCAATTTTCAAAACAAAAAAAAGCGCTTTACAGATACAATGGGGAGCCACTTCAACCACCACGAACTGTGTAGCACGCACCTGGAAGGTCTAATGGTGGGCAATGCTGGGCAAGCAAGGGGGAAAATAGGACGACAGATTTGAAAGGGCCACAGTGGGCAATTTTAGCCAGGACATCGGGGTACGACCGATATTCTTTCAAAAGTTACCCAGAGATCTTTTATGACCTCAGTGTGTGAGGACATTGGTTTCATGTCACATCCAAAGGAAGGCACCATTTCTACAGAACAGTGTCCCTTTCACTGCACTGGGGCATTGGCATCCACATAGAACAAAAGACAGGGTGACCAGTTGGTCACCGCAACACTTCTTCCAGCAGTGAGTCAGCTTTCCTAGTTGGTCTCCAATCCAAGTACTGGCCAGACCCAAACTGGCTCAGCTTCAGACAGATTGCCTAGTCTGAACTGCAGGTGATATGGCTGCCGACTATTTACTGTTGCTATTAAAACAGAGAGAAAAGGCCAGTATAAAAACGTCAAAATGCCAACTACTGAGTGAAAAAGGAGGAAGAAAAAAGGAAAGCAGGAAAGAAGGAAGAACCACTTGATGGGGGGGAGGGGGGGGGTGATATCTTGAACACTGAGCATCAGCCCGCATTGACATGTTAACCAGCATTTTGTGCATCTATAAAGCTAAGATGACACTTGTCTTACCTAGCTAGTTAGCTGCCTCTTTGACCATTGCTACCATAGCTTGCAAAAAAAGGACTTGCACTTGCATGCGCTTCCCAAAAGAATCGTCGGTCGAAGATCATCCAGTAGTGCTTCCTTTATAAATATTATTGAACCTTCCCCTGCCCCCCTACGTCTCGGAAACTCGTGTGGCAGTACTGCTACCTTGTACGCCTGCCTGGGGCACGTGAATGTGAGAGGGCACAACCCAGACGTAGGAGTACCTTTAACTTTACCCCCACAAACTCATTCTGACTTTACAGATTGATGCATTGAATCAGCACCTTAATAAATTGATTCATCATGATGCATCAGTGCATATTTATACCCCGACAGCATGCTGTAAACTTCACAAAGCTGGTGCAGGATTCAGCAGGGATGCCATTTGGATACTGCTTATATCCAAGGCCACAGCACAAAGATTCAGACTGGTATAAAGAGCATAATACCTGCCCCCCAAAAGAAATGGAAAATGTGATAGTATCATGAGTCATAATTTAGGGATTTGCCTTCAGCCCTCTGTCTCTGTTGATATGGGTAGCCATCTGGGAATTGAGATCCAATGATTGCTCTGCATGGTCACAAAACAGCAGAGAAATATGGGGTCATTCCACGGGACCTGGTGCAAACATTGGCCCTTCCTGATTTACACAGCTAAAGAGATACAAGAGTAGTTTCATGAACACTTAACCTCTGCAAGAAGTTCTGGAATGTAGAGTGTGGAGTACATTTCTACCTCCATCACTCCTGAAATAACTGAAGGGTTTTCTTTTCAAGGAATATTCCAATATCCCACTGCACACAATTTAGCACTAACATCACAGCATTCCAAGATGGACCGAAGCTGTTCTGAAGGCAAAAATTTATCCTGTTCCCAATATTAGTATTTTTAAGGTGTTTTATTTCATCCACCCAAACTGCTGTT